AAAACATTTATGAAATATTAATATTTTGGAACAAATAAAGGTGGCACTGTCAATATCATCAAGACAAACTTGAAACTGTTTAAGATCCATAAGCAATGCAATGAGTCAATCAATTGCGTAAAATAAGTCCCAGATAGCAGTACAGCATTGTGTGTTCAACAGACTGAGGAAAAGAAATGGTTTACAAAAGAAAAATAGAAAAGAAAGAAACTTTTAAAAATAATCCTAATGGAATAGTAATGGTGACAATAATTTACAGAAAATTCAAAATACTACAACCAAGCAAACCAATGATTCCTGAGAAGTACTGGTAAAATTATGAGCAATAAAAAACAAGTCACAGGACTGTCACCATCTCTGTGTGCAGAAGGAAAAGGAAATCAGTGAGACACACCAGAACTGCCATTGCCCATGTTTATCTAATAGGGATGTCTAGATTCTCATTATTTAAACAAAGTATTGCTTTACAGAAAGAATTACCTTGACTTCTTCAGAGCATTTCACCCCTTCACTCAGATTTTTTGAACCATAATTTAAAATCTTAATCTCAAATCATAAAATAAAAATTCAAATATGTGGGCAAACTGGAATTGTATGGCATCAAGATTTTATGAAAGAGACAACAGAAAAACAGCATGTCAGTAGCCTATTTTACTCACAGGTCACAGGGAAACTGAAACATTAGAATCAATGTATTAATGCACTTGGAAAACACTCTTATTGTAAAGCTGCACCTTCCATGGGTCATTCCTAAGCAGTGAATGAGGACATCCTGAGCAGCTGAGGAGAATTTCCTGTGAGGTTAATGCACACTATGTAACTTTTTCACAGTGTGGAAATGCTCACTCTTCAGGATCATGATTCTCACCAATGAACAACACATAGCTATAGTCTGTTTAAGGTGCTAACCTATAATGTCTTTTTTCTTTTTTTTATTATTAGTTGTTCAAAACATTACAAAGCTCTTGACATATCATATTTCATACATTTGATTCAAGTGGGTTATGAACTCACATTTTTACCCCGTATACATATTGCAGAATCACATCGGTTACACATCCACGTTTTTACATACTGCCATACTAGTGTCTGTTGTATTCTGCTGCCTTTCCTATCCTCTACTATCCCCCCTCCCCTCCCCTCCCCTCCCCTCCCATCTTCTCTCTCTACCCCATCTACTGTAATTCATTTCTCTCTCTTGTTTTTTTTTAATTTTCCCTTTCCCCTCACTTCCTCTTATATGTAATTTTGTATAATAATGAGGGTTTCCTTCCATTTCCATGCAATTTCCCTTCTCTCTTTTTTCTACAAACGCTTCTAACAACAAAGAGTGTGAATTTGCAGAATATCAACCAATGTACTAAAAACCAGTTATCCAATAAATAATTCAATTTTGACCCTGGCCAGTAGAAATATCACAAGTTTGGGGCTCAAACCTGCAGGATTTCACCTAACTGGGAATCCAGTCACAAGCCCTGGGATAGCATTTATACCTCTTATCCACTTTCTATAAATTGGGGGACCTACAACTACCTAAAATCTTGAATAATCTGATATAACTATTCAGAATATAGGAAAACACTTTATTATGTATACCAGCTTCTCGTAACTTAGGAAATTTAACACATAGAAAAGATGTACAGAACATGGAAAGTGGCAGAAGAAGATGTGGCAGGCTGGCAGGATGTGGAATTAGATGGATTTTATTTCCCTAGATACATGTATGATTGCACAACTAATGTAACTCTGCATCATGTACAGCCAGAGGAAAGAGCATTTGTGCCCCAATTGTGTACAATGTGTCAGAATACATTCTGTTCTCATGTACAACTAATCAGAATAAATAAAAAATATAGAATAAAAAAGTTCCACCCCCCAAGAAAAATTTCAGCATGTTTTGTTTTAATTGAAGAAGTGACCAAAGCAAAGAGTTCTAAAATTCTTCTGGAAAGTTAAATATATATTAAACTAGTCAAGAGATCTCTGAAATGTAAGAGGAAAAGAAGCAGATATCATTACCTGACACTAATATATAGTATTAAACTACAGTATTGCAAAAATAAAGACCCAGAATCACAGAAATTCCATAGATAAATACATATGTACATAAATATCATTTGTATTGTTAAATGCAATGGAAGGCCCTACATACATCCAACTCCATCAAGGAAAGTATTTAGTGTGAATGACTGACACAACCCAACCTAAAGGTAGATGTTAGAACTGGAGGCAAAGATCACTGGCAGTCTGTGTGCAGCACGGGTGTAGCTCTGAGATTATGGCACAGTACCCCCCCCCCCAAAGCAGATGTTAAGTAGGATGATATTCAAAATAGAGCAGAATAAGTGGCCCTGAATCTCTATCTTGACTCTCAAAACATCTGTTCCTGTTTGGAGACCCTCTTAAACAGACTCATAAAGTATGAGTTCAGAAACTTATATACAGTGGACAACTGAGAAAATATCTACCATCAGATAAGCAGGAAAATTTGGGGCACATTTAAGTATGATTCCTGCCTTAAGCCATCTGCATATAATCGAGACAGAATACCCCAAATCCAGTGTCACCCTGAGCAGAGAAGATTGGGGTCATAAATATATTTAACTGTAAATCGCTTGTAAGTTTGGATCTTAATTTATCTGCTGCTCAGAGAGAAAGGAACTAGATAGACACAATTATTGAGAGCAGAGGAAAAAATGGTGGTTTTCTATGGCTATCCACAATCCCTGGGCTTCACTCCCTGGGATGAGAGCAGAGGAAGAGTTAAATCTCCAGGGTCCCAATTTATCCCTAGAAGGGATTTGCCACAAACTCTGCAAACTGCTGTTGCTAACAGCTGAGCTTCTATGTGGCCAGCCCCAGAGTTAACAGGGAAACAGTTCACCACAGGAAGCCCATGTGGGAGTGCAGCACTTCCTGCACCCATTCCTCCAGCTCCTCAGTAGAAACGCAAGGCCTGCCAATTCTTTCTCTAAGAAATCGGACCATGTACCAAATACCCCAACTTTAACTCATTCCATTCAATGGACTACATCTCAAGCCCCCAAATTTTGGGAGAGATAGCAATTGTGTGTGTATCTCCCTACATCACAGAGGAGTGGCTTCACATTGGTGTGCAAGCACTTCCATAGACTACAATCCCCCCAAGGAGTGAAGAAAAAGGGTTAAAATCACAAGTCCCTAGTTTGGTTTTGTGTCACTGTTGTTATTTTGTACCAGGAAGTGAGCCATGAGCATTTTACCACTGAATCATATCCCTGGTCCTTTTATTATTTTTTATTTTGAGAAAGGGTCATGCTCAGCTGCTTAGGGTCTTTGCTAAGTTGCTTAGGCTGGCTTTGAACTTGCAATCCTCCTGCCTTAGCCTCCCCAGCTGTGGGGATTTTAGGCATGCACCAGAAAGTCCATCTACAGATCCCTGTTTATTTCATTTATTTCTAGAAATGGTTCAAAATATCTTCCAGTGGCTACTTGGCAGCCTGAATTCTAGGAAATTTGCATCAGGAATTTAGTGCACCAGTCAAGTATAAGACCTCCTGCAGCCTGAGCACAGTTATTAGGATGGCAAGTACTAGAAAACTGAAAAGTAGCTAGTACTCTGACTATATGGATATGGAAGAAAGAACCCCTTTCATACTGTTGCTAGAATATAAATTTAGTACAGCGATTTTTTTTAAATAGCACCAGAGCTCTTTTAAAACTAAACATACAACTATCATATGATGCAGTGATAATAATTCTGGTATACAGCTAAAGGAATTGGAATCACTGTGTTAAATAAATGACTTCATTTTCATATTTATGTGGCAGCATTCACTGTAGCCAAGATAAGAAAACAAGTGTCATTTGGATCAAGAGGGATTCCTCCCAGCTGCAGGACACTCAGCTACTCGGAGAGACTACACCCCTAAATTTAGACAGCTCTCTAACAGGATAACACCAAGGTACTGATGTTCATGAGACACTCCAAGAGAACTCAGACAGGCCAGCTGTGGGATCCTCCTGTCAGGCAGTTCTGAAACACAGGACCGGGGAAATATCAGAGGGGCAACCAAAACCCAACCACATGAAATCCACATGGAGGAATCTTACAAGTCATTTTAACAAGGTAAGATAGACACACACACAATTTTACACAACATAACTTAGCAACTTAGCTAGACCCTGTCTCAACAAAAATAAAAATAAAAAGTACTGATGTAGCCCCAGAAGAACCATTACCAACATTAAGCTTCTCTTCTTGTCACCAAGATTTTTACAAAGAACAACAGCAGGATTTTTTTTTTTTTTTTTTTTTTTTTCAGAGCTGTGGTTTGAGCTTCCTTTCTTGTAAAAGCCAGGTCTGCTGACAAATGTCACACACTCTGTCTCAAGACAGCTTGCTGTACAAAAATTTCTGTTTTCCTTGGGAAAAACTTGTGAAACCTCTGTCTAAACTAAAATATGGGACCACGCACTGACTATAAATCTCAGAGAATTTCCCTACCAGGGTCCCCGCGTTGCTCCCTCTGGAGGCTGCAACTTAAGTAAACCTGCTGCCCGCGAATTCCTCAGGTGCCGCCCCGTCCGCCCTACATCAGAACCAGGGATGGAGCTCCTGGTAAAGCACCCTGCAGAAGGAAGGTTGGGAAGGAGGGAGAAAAAGCAAGAAAGCCAGCTAGCTCAGGAGGACGGCGGCAGCGAGGCCCAGAGCCACTACTCTTCTCCTGCAGGAAAATCGCACGTGGAGAGACTTCTCCGACCGCCGTCCCACCTGTCAATCACCACCCATCTGGGAAGACCCGGCTGCTGGCGCTCTAGGGCCAGCTGAGGGGTGCAGCAGGCTGGGCAGGAGCTCCGCTGCCGGCACGCTCCCTACCTGCTGGCCAGGGGGACTGAGGGGACGCTGCCAGGAGGAGGGCTCAGGCCGCGGACCCCGGAGCAGCTCCTGGCCCCACCGCAGCCGTCCCGCGGTTCCAATGACCTCCCTCCCTGGGCTCAAGAGGCCCCGCCACACTCACCATTTCCTGGCGCTCGGGAGTCGGGCGGCCACCAGGGATCTTCAGCACCCGCAGGGCAAAGCCAGCGAGACCCCAGGGCTGGCAACAGAAGCCGAAAGCCAGATCGCAGGACTGGTGGACCGGGAGACAGGGCTCCCCACCTCCGAGCCCCGTGGGCAGATCGCGGAAGCTGCCCTGTCCTCGCTGGCTGTGCGGGGATTGGACGGTTCTCCCCGAGTGCTCTCCACTGCACAGGGCTGCAGACCCGCCCCGCAGGCTGAGCCCAGAAAGCCTTCTTTCTGAGTGACAGTAGACGACATCCAACCCAGGAATCAGTGAGGCCAGGATGACAGATTCCTGGTGACAGCTTTTATTTTTCCTCCTGAGGTCTGCGAATTGGACAAGAGGGCCTCAGACTACAGGTAATCGAAGGCAAAGTTTCCTCTTAGAAGAGTGATCTAGCAGCGCCAGAGGAACATGTGCGTTGAGCCTCGCATATAAGGTGACTTCTGCATAGTATTCACGAGTAGAAATAATATAATGACAAATACTGCAAAATTTTGTAGAACTTTTCTGCTCCCTCTTGTGAGGTGATAGATTGAGCTTTAAACTGGGAAGCAATCCGATAAGGCAGCAATATCCAATGAAAATCATATGTGAAGTACAAGAGTAATTTAAAGTTGTCTAATATTCACATTAAAAAATTAAAAGAAACAGGTGAAACTGATTGTAATGGCATAAACCAATATATCCAGAACACTAACTATCATTATGTTGATGTATCCCAAAAGAATGTCAGCAGAGTTTTTTGTTGTTGTTGTTGTTGTTGTTTTTTCTTGTCAGAGAGCTCAGGTGGTTTGAGCTTCCTCTTTCTTGTAAATGCCCAGTTTGCAGACAAATGTAACAGACTCTGTTTCAAGAGGGCTTGCTGTACAAAATTTATTATTTGTTTTCCCTGGTTAAAAACCATGAAACCTATGCTTACCTAAAATTATGGGACAAAGAGTAACTGCTATGTTACCACCCACTGTTATACAAACAACCACTGAGGATAAATCTCAAAGAATTTCCTGTCTCTGGAGCCAGTGACTTTTCTTCTTTAGCCCCTCTAGACTGCTGCAGTTTAAATAAACCTTCTTCTGGCAAATCCCTCAGGTGTCCAGCCTCCTCTGACCTACATCAATGTGACCCACAGAAACTTACTTATCAAGTATATGTGGTTTTGGAACTATGTCCCCAAACTCTCTGGATTCTAAGCTTCCAGCATATCTCAGTTTGCAAAGAAACCTTAATCCAGATTTGACACCTGAGGGTCCCCTGACCTCAGGAGGGGAAAGGGCCTAGTCACCTTGTTTTTATGCTAGAGGTGAGAGACACAGTTTCTTAATAATATTTCTCCATAGACCCAAAGGCCAAGGGAGACAGTGCCCTGAGCAAGCACAGGAAACTATCCAAAAGTAGATCACTTTTTCCCACTTGAAAGTGGCCACAGGTCCATCCCATTGCAGCCATCGGACAGCAAACAAAGGAAAATGGGGTCCCAGGAAGTGGGGGACACGTCTTCAGATCTGTCCACAGGCTTGACTCTATTGTTTCAAACATGAAATGAATACTTCTTATTTGACAATTTGGCCTTAGACCTAATGGCCAGGCTATGATGTCTGTTTCATCCTGTGGTCCAACCCCCACAGCTAATTAGCAGCTGGACTGGGCTCAGTATGAGCTGTACCTTATTCCAAAGCCAAAACTCCTCCACCAGACCAAAGGACTCAAGCAACATTGCTTATTCTCAAAAGACTTGGAAAGAGACAAATATTCAAAAAAAAAAAAAAAAAAACACCAGCACTTGTGATTATATGTATATGGAACACAGTACTATGTGTTACACATAACACAAATGGAACCTTCTTATATACTGAGTCATCATGAGACTCCAATTCCAGGATCCAGGGAACCTTGGTTCAGTTTACATCAAGGGCACACACCAGCTAGAATTAATTTCAACCCCCCTTCGCAAATAAAAGTATAGGTTGATTTTGAAAATGTGAAAAGTTTAATCAGCATTTATCAATTTTAGAACAGGCTGTTCTGGTGAGATGTAAAGAACCACCAAATCCTACATTTTCAAAATACAGATTAGCAAGAGCTATAGAGAAATGCAATAAAATTCTTTATTGGAGGCATAGAGTAAGAGGAGGGTAAAGAGAGACATGTGATTATTGGAAGTACCATGAATTATCTGATATTCGAACGTGGAATTCAGACAAGGAAGATTCAATACATTGTATTTGGGCATGTGGATGGAATGACTGCCCATGGTGGAAAGGTTATTATGAAGTTTTAAAAGAATGTGAGTGGCAGATAGTGGTGAAACAATTAGTGTCTGCAAGGTTTTTGTCAGTGATGGAGCCACAGCACATACAGGTTTAATAGCCTCCATGAAGATCTTCATCCAACTGAGTCCCCCAAGAACATCCTCAATATGGGGAAAGCATAGGCTTCTACATATCAAATGGCTTCTCAGAAGTATGCATCACAGACAGAACTGTATTAAAGTTCTTCAAAGCTACTCGAAGTCTGGTCTGCTTCTGTAGGGAGCAAACCTCTCTTTTCCATATTTTGAAGAGAGCACCTAAAGAAGACATCCCAGTAGGACCCTTTGACTTGAGACACAATTCTTTGACTTTTTATGTTATGGAAGTCTTCAGAAACAGAGCTATCAACCCAGGTTACTCCTAGGAGAAAATGCTTGGAGACACTGTTGGGTTCAACAGAGCACATCACAGGGCCAGAATCGGACTCAGAGAAGAAAAACCTAAATGGCTGAGAATCAACTGAAAGATGACTCAAGTTGGTTAGCTGGGAAATTGGAAATGAATGGAACAGTGTCATTTCATCTGCCACCAGGATGAGAGATCAGCCAAAAGTAAAAATAATGCCAATTCCCAATGCCAATTGGTGGCAATGTCACTTCTGCAGCTCCAACATGACTATAATCTGCCTGTAGCTATCAAAATGTTATATGTGCATATCCTTTCAATTAGTATTTTTTTCCCTTGGATTCTATCCTCATCAAGATACTAGTTTATGTTGTCATTTGAATTGTGTCCCCTCCCCAAATCTCATGTTGATGTTCTAAATACTCAGTGCCTCAGACTGTGACTCTATTTGAATGTTTCTCAAAGACATATTAATGTTAATCCACTTAATTAGTGTGGGGTCTAATACAATTGAATCCACTTTCCACATATAAGAAATGACAAAACACAGAGAAGGATAGGAAAACTGTTGTTCAAACAGTAATAGAAGATGTAAATGTACCTCTCAAAGAGTGGGCCTCAAAAGAAATAACTCTAGCAAGCAACTTGATATATAGGCTCCAGAATGAGGACAAAATAATTTTCTATCCTGAAGCCCACTATCTGTGACACTGCCATATGACAGCCCTAAGAAACAGATTGCAGCCCACTGTGACACATACACTGTCCCTGTAGCACGGCTGATGAAGGTACAATTGGATTACATCATGTTCTACCAGCATTGAGAGGCTGAACTGCTGCAAGAAGTGGCACTTTTTACTGGAATATTTTGAAGGCAGGTGAGAACACAACTCCAGGTGATGCCATAGTGATTTGTCTTGTGATACATCATAGTTCCAAAAAAATATGTAACAGAGTTTAACCACTTTTGTTTGCGTAACCTCGCTCTTCTTTGTGTAAATGCTTTCCTGGTAAGGCTGTTTGTTTTTAAGTCTTCTAAAAGGAGTAGATTGCTATATGGGCTACCTGGGGCCCAAAATAAGGCAAAAACTAGCAACAGTAAAAAACATACCCATTGCCCAGTACAAATTGAAAATGATGCCAAATTATTTCTCTGTTATTTCTACATATATGTTATCTGGAGCTTTAAATCAAATAGGTTACCAGGGGAAGGAGTACAGTACAGATTCCTTTGGGAACAAAAATTCAGGTCAACCAAGTGATAAAGTTCTAGGACAGAGCTTAGAGAAGTTCCCATACTTGGGTATTGGTACTGGTCCTATCCTGGCCATCTCAAGTACCTGCCTGTGGAGACCCTTCTCCACAAGGATCATCTAACCCCAGACCAGAGACATTATTGTTGGTTGTGTATGCACTTGCTTTTTCCCCAAGAGATAGCATTAACAAACAGCTCCCTGATAATCTGCAAGGAACTCTTCAAAGATATCACCTGATATTCAGTATAACATATAACACTGGCCACCCTGGCTGGCCCCATGGGGGACACTCCCATTGAAAAAGTTTATATCCAGATCAGGTATATATAAATATATGTATAGATCTCCATCCAGGGGTGACACCAGATCACAGAATTAAGATCCCTAGATAAATACCTGAGTAGAAAAATCACTATCCAATGCTTAAATATCAACTCTGGCCAGTCAGGTCCAGTGGTATTAATATAAAAGACCACAGAGTTCCAACATCTGGTAACCTCTTCCTGTCATTGCAGGTCCCCTGCAATTACCCTGTATAAACACCATACAGAGAGAGAGAGAGAGAGAGAGAGAGAGAGAGAGAGAGAGACAGAAAGACAGAGAGAGACAGAGAAGGAGGGGGAAGAAAAGGAGGAGGAGGAGGAGGAGACAGAGAAGGAGGGGGAAGAGGAGGAGGAGGAGGAGGAGGATGGAGGTGAAGGACTTCCTCAATGTGGTCACAGATGAGGGCTTGCCTGGACTGGTCTCCTCTGGCCTGCCCTCTTTTACCTGGGGGTGCCTCCTAATAAATGACCATAGGGTCTGTTATAGGGCTGAGTGAACCTCAAAAAATGCTCCCACTCTGGACCTTTTTGTGGGTTTAACCTTGGAAGTTTTGGACACATCAGAAAACATCTTACTCCCGTGAGCATCTCCCTTCATGTGAGCTGGATGAGGGACTGTCTCAGAGTATGTGCCTGGTTACCAGAGTTCTAAGATCATTGTGTTCTAATGCCAAAACCCTGAGGCCCTTCTGCAATGTTTAGTTCACTGAGCCTCTTCCTATAATTGCCTCCCCAGGTGCCCTTTGGGCTACTGGCTTTTCATCTTAACTAAATAAAATTATGCAAATACAATGGCTTTGCAACCCCTTGGGAAGTCATCAGTGCAGCCAAAGACCTTAGGTTTTTTATTTTTTAGTTGTAGATTGACACAATACCTTTATTTTATTTGTTTATGTGGTGCTGAGGATCGAACC